TACGTACTACTACTACTACTACTACTACTACTACTACTACTACTACTACTACTACTACTACTCTACTACTACTACTCTACTACTCTACTCTCTCTACTCTCTCTCTCTCTCTCTCTCTCTCTCTCTCTCTCTCTCTCTCTCTCTCTCTCTCTCTCTCTCTCTCTCTCTCTCTCTCTCTCTCTCTCTCTAAACAAATACATAAACCTACACAAGCATGCCCATGCACATATGTGCCATTATATATTGTATCAACACGAAATATTTCCTTGTTTTTTAGTAGTTTTGTGATGTCTTGATGATTTTTTCGATGGATCTATAGTAAGAGTTCATTGAGCATGGTTTCGAATGATATATCAATTACTAACTATGCTTTTCACTTGATATTGTCTTTATTTGATTTTTTTTAAATTTATTTAATCCCATTCTTGTTAATAATGTCCCATAGGAACTCAAACGAAGGGAAGATGCTGCTGCCAGGGGTAGGATTTCATAGTTTATGTTGCCAAGCGTTTGCCTTGTATCTGTTGACTATGTGGTTCCTTTGAGTTCTTGGTGCTGAGTTTCTATTCTTGTCCTTTTTAGCTGGAATTGTCATTGAGGAGAAAAATTGGCCTCCCTTTTTTCCAATCATTCATCACGATATTGCAAATGAAATTCCCATCCATCTACAGAGAATGCAGTATTTTGCATTTGCCACCCTCTTAGGTATGGTTGGTTTATTCTTTTAGTCTTTTTCAGTAATGTTCATAATACTTGTGATTTCTTAATAGGTATGAAAATTCTTGCATTTTGGTTGATCTTGTGTGTACACCAACTTACGGTATGAAGTTTTATAGGTGAATGACAAGAAATAGAAATTATATTGAGAATGACATACTATAATTCGTGATATTCTGCAACAAACCTAGGGCTTCATGTACATCTGATTGGTTACATGTAGCAGTACACACCATATTATGGATTTCTTCCTTGGAAAGATACTGCGGTTATGGAGTACGATGTTCAGAATAAGTTCCTGTATTTGAATTGAATGTTCTTTGACTAAATTGTTGAGTTACTACTTGATTATAGGATATAACATATTATTTTTTACCAACAAGTTCCAACCCAAATTGAATGTCTATTGAGCTTTTTTCACAGTTTTCCATTTTCACTATAGGGTTAGTCAGTCTAACTAAAAAAATGAAGTGGGTTGGAAATGAGGAAATGTGGTTCCAAAGTTTTCTTAGAATCCAAGGTTTCATTGATTTCTTAACAGCTTTAAAACTGTTCTTCTGGGGAAACATTCTTTTGTATGTTTTTGTTCAAGGACTATCACAAATTGGTTCCCAAATTGATGGGTTGCTTTGGCATATCTGAATTATATGACATTTTTAGTTGTGTGCACACAAGTCTGTTTATGATCTCACGGATCTTAATTTTAGCTTGAATTGTTGTTGTTCTTGTTGTACAGGTTTGGTTATATGTCTTGGGTGGAATTTTATTGCAATCACAATAGGCTGGGTTAGAGGACTGGGTTGGTATTTCTTTTTCTGGTTGAGTCGATGTGTTTCATAGCTTTGATCTAAGCTTTCTGCTTCCTTGAGCTATCCCATTTATAAAAAGCCACTCCTTTATATAAGTTTACCATCAATAGGGGTCAAGATTTGGTTTCTGTCCATTATCTACTTCATAGCGGGAGTTCCAGGAGCCTATGTATTGTGGTACCGACCACTATATCGTGCCATGAGGTACATGCATTTTTTGTTTTCGGTGAATGCTATTATGTGTATCAGCATCATATCTTCCATTTGGTGTTACTTAGCTCTATTCATTAATGATAGGAGATTGTGAGATTGATTTCTTTATTCCAATTCAATTTTCAGGACAGACAGTGCTCTGAAGTTTGGATGGTTCTTCTTTTTTTACTTGGTATTAACTCTTTCTCCTTCTGCAAATTTACCGGTGCAGATTAATACTTTTTGTTTTTTGGGGAAATCATGCAGGTTATCGTTATTTTCCTTGAATTGTTCTGTAATCCATCACTTTCGATTCTTTGTTTTGTCACTACAGCTACATATTGGTTTCTGTCTCTTTGCTTCTGTGGCACCTCCAGTTGTTTTTCATGGGAAGTCCTTGACGTAAGTATGCTTAATTACTTGATATGTGATTAGTGAAGAATCATATATTAGATTGCAACAATGTTTCTGTAGTCTTCCCAATTGCTCTTCTCAATGATATTTATCTGGACTCATTTAAATTGATAAATTTGATACCTGCGGGCTCCAACATGGATAGCGTGGATGATAGAATGATGCTGACAAGGTCTAGGGTTGCATGATACGGTGATGACGGCATCTTTAGGTTAGAATGCAGATTACAAAGTTTGCTTCTGCTCTTATGCTTTGTTAGGGAACTTAGTCTTTGGATCAGTGTGCGCTTCTTTTTATATGTACATAACCTTACATGCACCTTGAATTATTTGCATTTCTTGCATTTTAAGTTGATTTATTTCAAAAATATTTCTTTGAATGGGGAAGAGTGAATGTATTTTGTTAATCCATTTAACGGGAATGATCATTTGAGTATGTTACAGAAGAAATGTGGTACCTTGCCTCTTTATTTTCTTCTCCGTGGTGGTTCTTAGTCTCTGTAAATTGTTCGGGCTTGTTCTCCTATGTTGTTACCTGAATTATTTCCTGCTTTGTGTTGCCGTGATGTATGTTGGTTGCTTTCTATATGGAATGCCACATCTAGACATATTGCCATGCTCTCTCTCTCTCTCTCTCTCTCTCTCTCACACACACATGCAACACACTCTCACACACACACATGCACAAACCGAACACACAAACATATAACACATACGTGTGAGCATGCACTGTTACTATCATGCTTTGGTATAGTTTTTATAATTATATATTGCTTGAAAATCACCAAGCAAAAAAATAAATTGCTTGAAAGTCCTGCTCTTTATTGATGCCGCTCTTCTGGGATTCCTGTGAAACAGAGGTATCTTGCCAGCGATAGATGTCTTCGGTGGCCATGTCCTGGTTGGGGTAAGCATCACATCCATACTCCTATGAAAAACAAATTATGGCAGTCATTGTTCCGTAGGAGATTCCCACAATTTGTGATTTACTGATTCAAATCCCAGAACATCATTCAATAATGGGTGGGGTTTATACAAGGTGCCGACCTTATACTATACAAGTAAGAAAATGTTGTTTCGGTGATGAAAATCTTGTCCTGACTTGAAAATTCATGTTCAACCCTAATTTTGAAATGTAGAATTCTAAAAATGGTGCAGATCAAGCAAATTTTGTAGACACTTGAAAAGAAAATCTTGAAAATAGACGGTCCAGATAACTTGTTACAAGATACATTATTTTTAGGACTTGAAAATTATTTTTATATTATACCCGTACATCTTATGGTTGAGATGATTAATTGAAAAGTTTTCCAACTTCGGAATACTCTTTTCGACTTGATTTTTGAGGTGCACCTTACATCTATAGCATAAGGTTGCAACCTATATAAACTTTTCCTTCAATAATTTTGCTTCAGACTAAACTGTGATATCTATTATCATAAAAAAAGAGAAAGAAAATGACCAATTTTTAGTTATTACCTGAAAATGGGAAAGAAAACACTGGTTCCTGGTTTAATGAAATAAAAAAAAATGATCTGTTGAGGATTGTATTAAGACAAGAAAGAGAGAAACCCTCTTTTCTTCCCTCACTTAAATAGGTAACGTGCTCCACAATTTCTCAGCTCATTACTTTTACTCAATGTCAGATATTTTACCTCATTGGATTTGGATTCTTCGTCCTTGAATCACTGCTGAGCATCTGGGTCATTCAGGTTGATCTTCTTTTCTGTTTCTGAATTAATTTTTTTCCTTGTATTTTTTGCGTTTCACCCATTTTCCCTTGATATTTCATAGTTAACATCAGTGGTTTTTGTTGATATAACCAGCAAGTTTACATGTACTTCCGAGGAAGTGGAAAGGCAGCGGAGATGAAGAGAGAGGCAGCGAGAGGTGCGGTGAGAGCTGCATTGTAATAATCGAATGACGCCTCTGCTTATGCGAATGATCATTACAAAATTGCTGAAACTACAGGCGTGGGAAGGGGTTTGATAGTTTTATTGCTCTGTGGTGAAACATGGCCGTGTCAATACCTGATCCATATTTTAGCTGTGTTATCTTTTTTCTCTCTTGAATTTTCCTCTTTTTTTTTTTTGTGGTCTATTGCTTTAACACACTTTGAACGGGAATGACGGTATTCATTATAGCTCTGTATTTTAGTGAAGAGGGTACAGTTTGTGCCAATTTGCATCTCTCGTATCTCGCTCTCCTTCTGTCTTCCTACCACTCCCCCCCTGCTCCCCCATCCGGGGCGTGTATATTCATGTGCTTATGCGAACATAAATGGTTTTATTTATTATTGCTCTACAATTCTGATCTACATTTTTTTTTTTTTGGGACATTTGAGCTTGTTTTGTAATTGCATTTGCATCCGTCATCTTTGCTACAGGTAAGAACCACTTAAAATACAAGAAGTAATGTTAAAATGGATGGGATAGGTTTATTTATCTTAATTATTTTCATAGATAATTTAATCACTGAGTAACAAGTCTCGGTCGGGCGTGGCCCAGCCCAGTAACTAGGGTCTGTGCTATCAAGTGCGACCGGAGGGCCAGTGGCCACCCCTCTTTTTTTTTCCTTTGAGTTTTCTTTATTCGTTTGTACCCAGTCCGACGCGTTCCTAACAGGGCTGCTTTTGAATCTTCTTCAACTTTGATAATTTAAAAGTAATTTTAAATGTTTCATATTTCATACTCAAGTCTTACTTTTGAAAGCATGCTCTAAAATGTAGGGCAATTATTTCAGGCAACTGTTGTATAGTAGTATGATGTATTGGCATTAAAAAACCTTTTTACGGCCATTTGTTTAATTCAAATTTTGAAATCTACAATCTTTTTATTTTAATGAACAATCAACAAAAAAAAAAAAAAAAATTTAAAAACATAATTTAGAAAGTATGTTTTTGTCCAATTAATATAGGCTGATCATTTTGGTGAGATGTTTAGATCTAGGTTTTAGAAGGATTTTTTTCATTTCTATTTTTTTTAGATATATTTATTATCATTAGATGAACGATGTTAAAAAATAAAAAAATGATTTTGAGTTTATAAAACTAAGATCTTGAAATTCATAAAATGAATGGTCTAAATTCATTTTTGGAAGACTCATTTTGACCATACCTAAAGTTCAAATTGAACTTTTTCTTTTGGGATTGATTATTGAGATGAAGTGTATAAAATTTGAGCTCATACAAATATCACAAACATAGTTTTCTAAAAATGTCATTGCATTATACTATAATATAACCGTTGCATTGCATCATTACTCTAAAATGTATTTTCATTTTATTTATATTTTTATACATCGAAGTTCATGTTTGGTATTTTCATATTTTCACTGTCACATCTACAAAAAAAATTAAAAATAATCAAAATACCCCTAAAAAATTATGAGTATTTATGTAGTTTTATTTACTTAAAAAATTATTTTAAATATTTTTTATAGTTATATGATGGTAGGAAGCAATGTTTCAAAACTTGGATCGTTGGGGCTGGATCACTAGATCTATGATTTTGATTGGTCTCAAATAGTGTTCTAGAAAAATATATTAAAAAATAAATTAAACTAAAAATTGGAATTTATGGGGCAATAAATTAAACTAAACATTAGATACGGTTTTAAAAAAAAAAGAAAAAATCAAATAGGAATGAACCAGAAAATTGGGGGAACCAAGCTAAAACCCATACAATCCCAAAACCAGTTTGGATTTGACTGATTCTCCATCCAAATTAATGATTCAGATTGGAAATCACCTATTTCAAAACATTGGGAAGAAGTAACAATGTATCAAATTTGAACTCAATTCGATGAAATATAAAAAAAAAAAAAAAAGATGAAATTGAAATTTACTATATACTTTCAAAAAGTAAACTTTCAACGTAAAATATAGAATCATTTTTAACTCCTAAAATCAAACATGAATTCTCTGTAAATTCCCTTAAAAATTGGGAAGGGGGACTTCGAACCTCTGACCAAGATTAACTATCACACCATTTAGCCCAACTAGAAGTAGTTGCTATAAACATTAGCATACATACATGAAAAGCTTGTTTTTTTTTTGTTTAAACCGTGCAGAATCGCCAATCCTTATGATCCGATAGCAAGGGGCCCTCACGCTGGTCTATACACCCAAAAACCGTCTCTATACATATTTGTGCTTTCTTCTACCGATTTCGTGCAGATCATTTCCAAGTAGAAGCCAGCCTGCTAAATGGGCGTCATGAACAAATGTTTCATCCGAAACACAATTAATTCCAAACACCTGACAATCATCACTAAAAGGCAGTTATTACAAAAGAAAAAAAAAACAAAAAAGACGATGACTAAAGAGCTCAACATACTTTTGTTAAGTGTAGAACTTCCAAAAATTATAATCAAGGAAAGAACATCACCAATTACTCAAGCCAAAATAACCTACAATATCTCCAAGAAATGTGAAAACCTGCTCGAATGCAGGAGAAACAAGACATTCCTCGCAAAATTCGGATGCTGGGTACATGATCACATGTTATAAGTTTCCTACAGTGCCTTTGTAGCAGACGAGCCAAGTACTGAGCCAGACTGCTCGGAAAGTAACCCTGAAGGTAAGAAGCGGGGAATAACAAATGCAAACGCGATGCACAGAATGACTAAAATCCCGACTGGCCAAGCATTGTGTGGTATCCCAAATGACAGTTCATCACAAACTGCAATTGCAAGCACAGAATAGAGAAAACCAATGAAAAATATATAAATCAGGAGTAAAAAAAGTAAGAAATTGAGAAAGAGAGATTCCTTATTCCGTTAACTTTTAACGCCTAGATAACAGCACTGGCAGAAAGAGAGAGAGAGAGAAAGAGAGCGAGAGAGAGAGAGAGAGAGAGAGAGAAGAGAGCGAGAGAGAGAGAGAGAGAGAGAGAGAGATTCCCTATTCTATTAATGTTAACGTGTAGATAACAGCATTGGCAGTTAAAGTTTCCACAAATATATAATTTTAAAGATGGCTAACATATGATCACTGAGAAATGGTGTGTTTTTGCTCACCAATATTGAACATGGCAAATTGCCTCTCCTGCGCATTAGGCTTTGCCACGATACCTTCAGGCTGGATTGATACAAGGACAAATATCTTTGTTTCTCCAGGAATTTCCTGCATTTTTTAAAATTTATTTGAACAAGGCCATCAAAAAATGCTAATCAAAATAACTTAAGAACCTCGTTCATCAATGTGAATATCTTACCAAAACATGGCTCCCAGCTTCAAAAATAAGCTTTTCAGTATTTAGCAATTTCCTCCCATTTTTCAGACTTTGCTTCTTTTTGTCCCTTCTTAGTTCCATGGAGAAGCTAGATGGTATCTATGGCAATACTAACTTCGTTTGAGTTCCTAAAAGGGCCAGCAAGAGAAAGATGAATGAAAAAGTAAAAAAATACATACAGAAGCTGGATAAGATATCTTCACTTCATACCAAAGAGATGGCTTCAATCCTTGCAGCTCATAAAGCCTACAACCCCCTTGTAGTGGCAAAGTTTCGCGAAGCAATTCAATCCCGACACTCAAAAGTGTAATATCCATACTGTGAAAACCCAACAAAGAAAGAATTCCTTCAAATAACAATACAATAAGAAATTCCATGAACAGACTCGTTCATTTGGTAAAGTACTTGAGAATTTTTAAGTTCTGAAATCTTAATCATTTTGATCTAGAGATAGCGAATTCACAAAGCACACAAGGTTACTTGACAATTTTTAAGTTCTGAAATCTTACTCATTTTGATGTAGAGATAGCGAATTCACAAAGCACACAAGGTGGTAAACCAGAAAACACCAACAGGGTACTGATAGATGACTCATACTGAATAAATCTGTTGGCAACAATATGAGCAGGGGATGCACACCACCAGCGGTTCAAACGCAGTTAATCTGCCAAAGAGATTAACATACTTAACAGGAAAACCAAATATATATATACACCCATATATGACATACATAAACACACAATTATGCATACAAACTTATTCACTATTTGTCACACTTATACCTGTATACGTATTTTTTTTTTTGGATCTATTGCATGTATATGTACAAACAATGACAGAATGCATACATTACTGAATGTGGTTGGCCATAATGTAAATTTTCAAAATGATTTTGGTCAGGATGGCCAGTTCAGAGGGTTAGATGCTTCCACTTTATTTTGAATGTCCCTAAGGCACTTCAAACTCTATAAGATGGAGAGGCCATATAGGCACATGTTGAAATATAACTGTGTATAGCTAGCTGTAACTGTGTACAGCTAGCTACTCAAATATGATCATGGATGATATAGTTACGCAAATCCCATAGTTTGGTGATATATTTAGGAGATATTTGGGAAATCAGTTTCTATTTAGTTGTTATCTCGTATCTTCTATTTAATTATTGGTGAATGAAATAATGGGCATAACAGAATAGCCTTTCAACTGTGGATGTAGGTTCAAAAGACCGAACTACGTAAAGCGGTATTTTCTTCTCTTTCTGAATAGCAGTGCATACAGAAATATAGGAAAGAAATTCAAAAGCCATTAAGATTTGACTTCTAATGGCCTCATACTCGGGAGCAAGGCCTGCCAACATATCAAAGGTTTTATCTTGTTCGACTTCTCTTATTCCACTATTTATATCAGCAGTTATTGGAGTCTCAAATGCCTCCAAGCATTCCAATGTGCTCACTAAATGGCTTCCTTGTTGTTTGAAAAATCCTGGCTGCACTATTTTTTTCTTCATAAATCTCTTTAAGAGACTTCCATAAATCTTTAGCAGTAGGCTGGAAATACATCCCTTCACTGTGGTTCCATTGAGTTTATAAGGCACGACCTAGCGAGGTTGTCCCCAAACTCCCACTCTTCATAAGTAAGATCATCGGGTTTTGGGGCTGGTTTTTTTCCATTCACAAAACCCAACTTACATTCGCTGTTGAGATACATGGTTGCAGCTCTAGACCACATTTCATAATTGGTTCCATTAAGAAGCATGAGAGTAATTTTCACATTTGAGTTGTTGCCCTCATGCACTATAATGTTTGAACTGGAATTTTAATCCCCCATTTAGAAAAAAAGGCTCAGAGATTACCTAATTAAAGGCAAAGATTACTCAGTTTCAAGAAAGGGCCAGCATGATAGAAGAAGATAGCAGTAGCAATTTTCGTAGAAGAAAAGTATCTTTAGAGAGCGAGGAACAAGCAATCTGCTTACAAGGTTTGCTTTGATGAAATAGTTTGCAAGGAAAAGTTTGCAAAGGAAAAAGCGATTTGCTTGCAAGGCTCGCTTTGACGAAATGGTTTTGCAAGGGAAAAGGCAATCTGCTTGCAAGGCTTGCTTTGACGAAATGGTTTGCAAAGGGAAAGAGACCTGCAGTAAGAAAATACTTGTTAATGTGTTAAGCCATGCCTCCTCTGCGCCAATCTTTAGCGCATGTCTTCCACCCCCACCCCCCCGAGCTCCCCTACGATCGTCCCCCTGCAACCCTTAACCATCACCTCCCCCACTTGCAGCCTGCCGCTGGGGTCCCCTCTTCCCTGCAGCATCCTCCGGACTATCTGTGTGGTGTTTGCGACCCGAAGCATGCATCCAAAGTCCAAACTCGTTGCGACTCTCATAGGCTCCTTTTTCCCTCGTCGGGATGACCTTCATGGGATTGAAAGATGGGCCAAGCGTCTTTGGGGCATCCCCGACTTAATTTGCAGACGACTAGCAGGAGGAAAGATGCTTGCCTATAGCAAGTGCAGCCACCATTGCAGGGAAGTTTAACTCAGCCAGATTCAAAGGAGCAGTCATCTCTCTCTCCCCCCAACTCACCAGAGAGTGGTGCTTTCAAAGCACAAAAGGTTTGGGTTAGATTTGGGTACCCCCCTCCATGCTTGGACAGTGGACACGTTCAGGACGCTTGGGAACACATGTGGGAGGCAAGTGTCTATTTACTGGAAATCGATAGAGAGGCTCCCCATGGGAGCAATGCAAGTACTCGTGGAGGTCTTGGACCCTAGTGTGATTCCCCCATCTCTTTTGTTGGAAGTGGACAGATGTTTTTTCAACGTGTTATGCGCCTGGCAGCAAGCGTCACCGGCTTCCCCATCCTTTTTCAACTCGGCGGCATCATCCTTTTTCAGCTCGCGGCCTGTGTCTTCTCGTCCTTCGTCGACAGCCCCCAAGCTGTTGTCTGCTGGTTTCTCTCTCCCCCCTGCACCATCCTCTCCCCTCCCTCTTGTGGCCCACCCCCTGCCTTTCTGTTTCTCGCCTGCCCCTCTCACTTCTTTGCCCCTTTCCCCGTCTTCACCTTCTGCTCCTTTGGAGTCCTCATCTCCGGAGAGGTCGCCCTCCCCCACTCTCTCTTCTTCTCACTTTTCTTCGACCTCCCCCGGCCCTGCTGATTCAAGGTCTCTCGACATCTCGATCTGGCCCAGGGAGACTATCCTCTGGTGATGTGAGCTGTGGGCATCAAATTTGATGGCCCGGAGCAGGTTCTGGAAGATTTCATTTCGGCCAACCCCCTTCCCCAGGTCATTTTGCCGAGAACCAAAACCCACGAGCTGGCCAATCTGGTGGTGGGTCCTGGACCCAGCAACGTCGTGATTCCTTCTCTGCTTCCTTCGGAGTCTAGGCTTAGACGCTCGGCTAGAAGAGCTCCACCCCCGTCAACAATTCATCCATGTTAATCTTATCATGGAATGTGCACCGAACCTCAGCTATCTGGGACAGTATCAACCAACTTCACCGGGCACTCATCGCCCTCTGCAAAACTTAACTTACGACTCCTCTCTCCCAAATCAGATTGGTATGGGGACGTAGACCTAGCCAATGGTTAGCTCTGCCCGCCTCAGGGGCTTTGGCTGACATCTGGGTCATTTGGGACCCTTCTCTCCCTGATCCACTCCCTTACTGGTCTCTTCTCTATTTCGGTGGTCCTCTCCAGACGAGCCGATGGCTTTCTCTAGAAATTTTCGGCGACTTATGGCCCTCACTCGAACTCCCTTCGTGAACTTTTGTGGGAGGAGCTCGAGCAAGTGGCAGCCATTTCCCCTCCAGTGGGTGTTTGGGGAGCGATTTTAACGTCCCTAGGTTCTCTTTCGAAAGAAACTCCAGGAGTTCACTCTGGGCATGATGAAATTCTTGGACTTCATCGCTCACAACCAGTTGATCGATATCCCTTTGCAAGGTGATCAATTCACTTCTCTAATCACTCGGCAGATCCCACCCTCTCCATGTTAGATTGTTTCCTCCTTAGCCCCGGGTGGGACGCTGCTTTCCCGAGCTCTTCCACCTCAGCTCTTCCCAAACCCACTTCGGACCACTGCCCAATTTTGCTTGATACCAACCCAGCCCCGCAAGGGCCCAGGCCTTTCATATTTGAGTTATGGTGGCTCAAAGAGGCCGACTTTTGTCGGCAGATTCCTATTTGGTGGAACTCTTTCTTGTCTCAGGTCTCAGGTCGAGCAGGCTTTCAATTGCAAAGAAACATCCAGCTTCTAAAACTCTCCAACAACATTAGAACCTTGAAAGCTTCTACTTTGATGGCTACTCAACAGTGGCATCAATGGGAAGAATCCAAGCCTCTCTCGGATTCTGAAAGAGAATTGCAGTCTATCTTAAAGTCTGATTACTTTTCGATTCTCAAGAAAGAGGAAATTTATTAGTATCAAAGATCACGCGTCAAATGGTTGAAATTTGGTGATCGTAATACAGCCTTTTTCCATAAGACCGCCAACTGTAGGAGGCAAGACAATACGATCACCCGCATCAAAGTGGGCGACTCTACATTGGAAGAACAAAATGAAATTCTCATGGCCATCATCGATTATTTTCAAAGCCTCTTTACAGCTCCATCTGGCCCCAAACCTTTCTTGGGCGACCTATCTCTCCTGTCCATTCCTCCCAAGAAGGCAGCTTGGTTGGAACTCCCCTTCTCCGAAGCCGAAATCTTGAGGGATTTTCAAGATCTCGACCAAGATAAAGCTCCTGGTCCGGATGGATTTCCTATTGCTTTCTTCTCCTTGTTCTGGCATGTGCTCCGTCCAAAGATCCTGGCTTTATTTGAGGAATTTTACGAGTGAGGTTTCGTTCATAAAGCCTTCAATGCTACCTTCATTACCCTGATCCCTAAGATTGAGGGCCCTGAGGAACTCAAGGACTTCCGCTCTATCAACCTCCTCAATAGTACTTTCAAAATTCTGGCCAAAGTGTTGGCTTCCCGTCTCAAAGAAGTTCTCGGTTTAGTCATCTCTCCTTAGGAGCTTTCGTGAAAGATAGGCAAATTTTCGATGGGGCACTGGTGGCCCATGAGTGTATTCATTCGAGGCATATAGCCAAGCTCCCATGTTTGATTGTTAAATTGGACTAGACTAAAGCCTATGATCACGTCGATTGGGTCGTCTTTATGAGATTGAATATAGACCGTCGATCAAGGGTGACTTGTGGGGTGAGAGATCTGAGCCATCCATTCCATAGATGGGCCATAAACATTATGGAAGGTGCACGAACTATTATCCCCCTTTCCTAAACCATTTTCTCATCAATAGAAATTAAATAAATTAAATCTAGTCAACATATTGTGCATACCATAAAATAGCACAAGTCTACTCAATCTTTCCAGAAAATCTTTCAAAGATATATCAAGTCAATATTTACTCAATATCTTCCAACCATATGGTCACATGCCATATCATCAAAACTTCCACCAACAATAGAAGCAGGGAAATTTAGCTTGCAAGGAATAAAGAAAAAAGAGGAAAACAGTGAGCTCATAGATGAATTAGTCAAAAGATTAAAAAAATTGAACATTAATGATAAAGCTCAGTCCACTAAAACTCAAAAAGGAAATGTTTAGGTCCTAGAAACGGCACCAGAAGAAGAAATTGAACAAATTGAGAAAGCTTTTAAAACTGATGGTCTCATCCATGGCTTCCAGTGCGGTATAGGGGTCCCTTGATATCACACCTCCAATACACCGACGATACCCTCGTCTTCTGTGATGTTCCCCCTCAAGAGACTAATGTTTTGTTTCGCTTTTGTCAAACTTTTCGAGTGGACTATGGGGTTCAAAATAAATTTAGGGAAACCCAAGATGATTGGGATAGCCCTCGACCCTAGCATCAACCTTCCTTTGGCGGATAGTTGGGGTTGCTCCGTTGAAACCCTCCCCTCCACCTATCTCGGTCTCCCCCGTTGCATAGAGGGATCGAAACTGAGTGCCTGGGCTCATATCATCGATAAGTTTGACTGGAGATTTGCTTGCTGGAAAGGTTGGGTTCTTTCACCAATCGGAAGATCGACCCTCATCAGAGCTACCCTTTCTTCCACTCCGATCAATCAGATGTCCCTCTTCAAAATGTCGGCATCAATCATCAAGCGTCTCAATTTCTTGATGAAACAATTTCTTTGGGAAGGAGAAAGTGACAAGCGCAAGTTCTACCTTGTGGCTTAGGATAAAGTGCAAGCGTCGCGGCATCTCAGAGGCCTTGGTATTCGAGATCTGCAGCTCACAAATATAGCTCTATTAGGAAAGTGTTGGTGGCGTTTTGCAATGCAGCCCAATCATCTTTGAAAGCAGTGTTGTAAGGGAAATATAACCTTCAAACTTCCTCTTGGCTCCCTCCCTCGAGAACCTACAACAGATCTTCTGGCTTTTGCAGTACCCTTCTGAGTTCTCTTAAGTCATTTAAACTTAATTCTAGAATTCTTGCTAGGGACAGCTGTTGGACTCGTTTCTGATTAGATTTATGGCTTGGATCTTCTGTCTTGTGGGACCTCTTCCCTTCCCTTTTCCTTATCACAGTCAACCAGCACGAGCTGGTTTCCGAGGCCTGTTAAACCATCGGCCCTAGAAGAGTTTGGAGTCCCATTTTCAGGAGGTCTCTTCATGAAGTTGAACTGGACGAATTTCTTAACCTATCTCAATTGTTGGAACAATATTTTATCCCCTAGAGGGGTTTCGACAGTCTTATTAGGTGCTCCTCCCCCTCAAGCACCTTTTATGTCTCATCATTCTATCGTAAACCATCTCAAACCCCCTACCTTTCCCCTTAATCCCCCTTCTCATGCTGCTCGGGCCAGGTTCTCAATGGTCCCACCCAAAATTCAGTTCTTCACTTGGTTGACCTTACACTAAAGAGCCTTGATCTTTGACCTCCTTCAGAGAAGAGGCATCCCCATCCCCAATTGGTGCAGGATGTGTCTTGAGGTGGAGGAGACCAACTTGCACCTCTTTCTTCACTACCCTTACGCCCACTTCTTGTGGGATTTTCTCCTCCTTATGTTCCAGTGGCAGTGGGTTCTCCCCTCTTCAATCCCTTGCCTCTTTTCCTCTTTTTAGTCTCTCCCTTGGGGGGTCTCGAGCCATTTGCTTTGGAAGGCGTCCATTATCGCCCTTCTTTGATCCGTCTGGATTGAGCGGAACAATCAGAGTTTTCAAGGAATTTTCAAGCCCCGTAAAGTGCTATTCGACCAGATTAAATCCCTGGTCTCCTTCTGGGTATCCAACCACAAAGTTTTCAAAGGTCAGCCTTCCACCTCTCATGGATGCCTCTCCTCCATATTGTGCACACCAGGGCTTCTAGATCCTTCCTCTGGTTGCCGCCTTCCTCGGGAACCATTAACCTCAACTTTGAAGAGTGTTCCCTAGGCAACCCCAGACAGTCGGGTATAAGAGGTCTCCTACAGTACCACAAGGGCCAAATTTTGGCGTCTTTTTCCAAATCTATAAGTCATGTTGATGCTCAAACTGCTGAAGCCCTCGCCATCTCGAAGGCCTGCGTGTGCATGCTATGGGATGGACTTTTTTGCTTATTGTCGAAGGGGATTCCCTCAATGTCATCCGTTGGGCCTCGACGGCTGCCTCCTACGTGTGGTCTTTAGCCAACACCTTTGAAGAAATTGCTCACCTTTACTCTAGCATTTCGATATCTTGGAGTCACGTTTGGCATGAAAGCAATGTGATGGCGGACACCCTTGCCAAAGAAGGAGCGGGGATTGCACCCTCAGCAAAGGGCTCGTAGCTAGATAGGGAGGTGTTGTCGGTGTTGTTCTTTACCTGTTTTACCTTTCTTCTTTTTGTTTTTGGGCTTCTGTTGAGGCCATCCTTTTGTTGCTTTTTGTTCCTGGTCCCGTTTTGAAGAACCACGCTCTTGTACCTTACTAGTTCATTCAATAAAGTTGTTAACAGTATCCAAAAAAAAAGGAAAAGAGATTTGCTTCTAAAGAGAGAAATTGTGCTACTAGGATGGAACAGGTCATGGATGATCAATTGCTCTGATGCTATGTAGAAGACATTGAGAAGAAGAGGCAAGAAGAGAAGAACAGGTCGTGGATAATCAGTTGCTCTGATACCATGTAGAAGATATTGAGAAGAAGAGGCAAGAAGAGAAGAAGTTAAAGTAGAAAATACAGTTTCACGTGGTTCGGTCTCTTGGACCTACATTCACGGTTGAAATCCTATTCTGTTATGCCCATTATTTCATTCACCTGTTATTAAATGGAAGACACAAAATAACAACTAAATAAAAACTAATTCATCAAATATCTCCTAAATATATCACCAAGATATTCTTCACATTTAGTTACCCAAAACATGAGATTTGGGTAACTATATCATCCTTATACATTTTTTGAGTAGCTAGCTGTACACGGTTACAGTTTCAAGAAACATTAACCAAGTCGGACTTGATAGATATCAGCGTGCTAACTTGAGGGGGAGTGTTGAAATGTAACAGTGTACAGCTAGCTACCCAAATATGATACATTGATTGCCCAAATCCTATGTTTTGGGTAACTAAATGTGAAGAATATCTTGTTGATATATTTAGGAGACATTTGGGGAATCAGTTTCTATTTAGTTCATAGTTTTAAAAAGCGCTAGGCGGGTCCTAGGCCTAGGCAGGCGCCCAGAACTTGGGTTGCTCAGTCGAATCCAAAAAGGATGCCCAGTCAAAGATGCTTCTAAGGACTCAAAATCTTCTAAAAAACCCCCCAATAGATTTATAAACATCCAAAATTAAATCTAATATCAATGGTTGATGTTTTTATCAACTTCTAAAAAACCCCCCAATAGATCAATTTTTATCAACTTTGAACCAAAAAAAAAAAATTCCGCCTCTGGGCGGGGCAACCGCCTAGACGAGTTCCGCACCGCCTAGACGGGGCACAGGCCCTGGGCGGCCACCGTGGGCTGGGCGTTGGGCACCTGCCTAGGCGGTCGCCTAGGGACTACCGCCCAGATTGGCCGCGGCGATGCGCCTAGGCCTTATGGACCGCCTAATCTTGTATCATCTATTTAATACTGGGTGAATGAAATAATGGGCATAACAAAATAGCCCTTCAATCGTGGATGTAGGCCCACGAGACCGAACCACGTAAAGTTGTACTTTCTTCCTCTTTCTCTTCTTCTCTTAATCAGTGTTGTCAAGACCGGACTGGTTACCGAACTCGTGAGGATACCTATACAGTTGGACCTGCTAAACTGGACCGATTCACCTATCGGCCGGTCTAATAAAAAAAATAAATAAAAATAATAAATAAATAAATATATATATATATATATATATATATATATATATATATATATATAGTAGTACGGTAGTACGTTAGTTAGTA